TTAAAATTCAAAGAATTTTTGAGTACTATATTATATTTCTAACAAGGAAATTTCAAGGGGAACTCCTCGAAACATGCAAACTCATCTCCACGGCATTCCCAATACCTCTGTTTTTATTTGGGGTCTTTAAATGGTGAAAGTATTGCAACATAAGTATTGCAACATAACTTTCTTGCTGCTTTGGGGGAGAAATCAATGGAAATAAAGGTATTTGGCAGCACTGTTATAAATAGTGTGGCCAATGAGGAAGGAATCAGAAGTGGGAAAATTGGTCCCAGCCCCTGTGCGTGTTGCCCATCCTCTACATCCGGCATGGGCAAACTTGGGTCCTCCAGGTGTTTTGGACTTCAACTCCCACAATTCTTAACAGCCAGTAAATTGATAGAAATTGTGGGATTTGAAGTCCAAAACCCTACAGGACCCAAGTTTGCCCATGCCTGCTCTACATTAAAATAATGCAACAAATGTAGAAAGAAAATGCAGAACCATGTTAACCAGACAGCAACATGGCAGTGCAAACACATTGATCAAAAGCTATTTGAACCAAGTGACTTTTTGATGCATTTAGAAATGCTATGTTTGATTCACGCATCCCATATGAGGAAGTTCTATAATGTCGAAGCCTCAAATATTATGACCCTGTCCATATCCCCAAGTCCTAGTCTTAGTGATTTTAAGGCAGGTCAATGAGTAAAGCATTTGCTAGTCTTAAAGCATAGGCAAAGCATATGGGTGGAGGCAGCCCTCAAAACATTGAGTACATTAAAATATGAAGCCCAGCATTTAGGTCTGGAAATGTCCTCGTAAGCAGTGCTGCTAGTATGGTATTAGTGTAACATGTGTATTTTTGTTCTCTGGCCCCAATGAAGATGAAAGCAAAATTCTTCATCCTGATAAAGTTTCATCTTCTCTCTAAAGCATCCCCCATAGAGAGCACACTATAGTAGCCTAATTAATAGCCTAAAAAGTGTCTGATTGCTAAGCATGGAAATTCTAACAAGCAAAGGCAAAGGAATGTTGTAGCACCTTAGAGACTGAGAGAGCAAATTTCATGGTACAAACTTTATTACTAATGAGGTTAGTAGTGTTAGTGAAGACTCCATGCATCTAAGAGAGTAAACTAAGGGTGCATATACACTGTAGAATTAATGCAGTTTGACATCACTGTAACTGAGGCATGAACACCCACTAGCCGAGAAGAGTAACAAATACATGGTCTACTTTATTTCATTCCTCTAGGAGTCCATCCACATTACACACTACATTGTAGGATGAATGCTATTTGATACCACTTTAATGGCCACGGCTCAATGCTATGGAATCCTGGGAGTCAGAATTTTGTAAGATCTTTAACTTTATCTGCCAAAGATAAAGTTAAAGTTAACTTTAAGCATGCCAACATCTTAGGAAAATGCTTCCTAAGATCTACAGAGATACTTGCTGGTACTCTTCAGCAAGCAAGAGTCCAAAAGTGGCAGGCTAAAATCCAGCACCTCAATCAGTGGCTGAGACCAGATGAGAAACTCTCACCAGGGGCACTCCAAGTGGCCACTTCTGGTCAAAGAAGGTGCTCAGCAGACTGCACTCTGACACCACAAGATACAGACTTAACCTTAAGAAATGGGGCTACAAAGTGGAGTCCACAACATGTAAGTGCAGAGAAGAGGCCTGCCACCATAGACCACCTACTACCATCCAACCTGAGCCCTGTCACATGCACAATGAAGGACCTTCTCATAGCGACACCAGGGGCACTCCAAGTGGCCACTTCTGGTCAAAGAACATTTAGCATAATACCAAGTTCTTTATTTTACTTTGTCTGTGTTTTTAAATGCATTTTAACTGTACCCTCAACTTGCTTCTGACACAATAAATAAATATATCTGCCAAAGAGTGCTGGTACCTCTCAAACTACAAATCTCAAGATTCCATAGCATTGAGCCATGACAGTTAAAGTGATATCACACTACATTGATTCTAGATGCATCCTTGGTCTACCTTACTCCTACATCTGAGAAGGACAACTTGTTCTACAAAAACGTATGTTACGATCTTTGTTGTCTCATTCTCTAACTTGTGATGACATCCTTTTGCACATTGATACTCCAGACTAACGTGGCTATGTCTTTGATTTCTATTAGGCAAAGTTGGATATATGCAGTACTAAATGTGCAAAAATTGACTCTCTATGTGCGATCCAGAAAAAAAAATTAAAATTCCATGTTCTGTAAAGAAGAGCAGCAGAAAGGTGTTTTCATGTCTAAACAGTCTTGGTTTCAGCCACTGTGCCTGGACCTCCTGCGACAGACTTCCAGGCAAATATCTCCCTTCAGCTGCTGCCTCTTCCTTACTCTGGAGGCAAAGTGCTCTTGGCAGCTTCCCTGCTTATCCAGCTGTTCCTGGAAAAGGTGTGAAGAGAGGCATCTCTGTCCATTTAGCTCACAGTGGGAGGGAGGAGAAAACAGTCAATGAAACTAAAGAATACAAACAAACTTGACCCAATTTTGACAGGCGGTTTCATGAGAGGGAGTTATTTCCAACAACATAATAAAATGGACATATCCAAATCTAAGCTAACAATTCCTTAAGGCACATGGAAAACTATTGCGAAGTGTACATGTAAATGCATATGAGGTTGACATATAAATAATATATGTACCACTGTATTAATGTTTTCCAGTGATTCCAGTTCAACCCAGTTTCAGTTTCAGCACATGATCTTTTAGGGTTTAAGGGTAGTTTGATGAAGGCCATGTTCTGTCAGATTAAGCCCTTTGGCTAGGCTCATACACCTGTGAAGGCTAGTTCTCCCATATCAATGAAGCAATAGCTGATGGTGATGAGGGATTGACACTGGCCCGATTTCTTGCATGTTGCAGCTACCTACTGGCTGGGATTCATGTACTTTGACCACAGCTATGTTTCAAATTCAGAAGAGGAAGTTGCTCTGTGTTCCAGAAATCAGGAGGATGGAGCATTTCAACTTGTTTAGGCACATATTAAATCTGATAGAAGCCTGTGTCTGCATTCACTTTATCTTGCTGGTGAATGGCTTTAAGTTAGAACTAGGAACCATGAGGCTTTCCATATGTTGATGGACCAAGGTTCCTATTAATCCTAGCTATATTGCCAGAGATGAGGCCTCATTAAAATTCCAGTCCACTAATGTATGTAGGATAAGATGTTCCCCAGGCCTGACTCAAGAAGACAAAACACTCTTTAAACACCAATAAAACGGTATGTTCAAATGACATCACAAGCAAGTGATGATGATACCTTACTAATTCCCACATTTTGGAAAGTCCCACCAGTAACATCTGTAGAACCAATGTTAATAATACAAAAGCAAGGTTTAAGGAGCAGTCCATCCTGATACTCCGTATGTGAAATTTCTGTCTCTGTAAAATTAAAGTGAATTGGGGAGAGGAAGTTCAATAATAAACATTTTAAAGTCTTCTAATGTGCTTCTCCCCATGAGAGGACAAGTACATTATGAGGCTCTAAAAAGTGCTGTTGTGATGTTGGACTACACTCTGGAGACAAGGGTTCAATTCCCCACTTAGCCATGAAAACCCACTATGTGACATGGGACAAATTAAAGATCTCAGCTCCAGAAAACCTCAATAGCCAACATGATTAGAATACCTTATATGAGAATACCATATTTGTTTACTAAGTTAAGCATGACAGTAAAACTGTATGGTTCTAGACCAGTGATTCCCAACCAGTGATCTCCAAGAATTAAAATAGGCTCCACAGCCTCACCGTTACTTCACTGTTGCAATAAGAGCAACTGGTCTCGCGAAACCCTCTTATAATGCCAAGGCAAGGGGGGATGTCAGGAGGGGATAGGCTGACTACCCAGAAAAGGCACGTCAACAAGCCTTCTGACTGCTGCTTCTCCTCCTCACTCCCTCTGAGTGGAGCCATTACATGTGGCGCTTGGAAGCGGGGATGTCTTGATGTCTTCATTTTTAGGCCTGTTCCTGGGGTTATTTGACATGCTGATTCAGAAAACTGCATTGGATAGACCACATCAACTCTAGATTATTAAATATGGTTTTCTGTGGGCAGACAGATGGCAACTAGTGGATGGCATATGTTTTGTATCAGAAACTAGAGCTGATGTGGTCTATCCAATGCAATTTTCTGAATCAGCACCCCAAACAACCAAATCGAATCTACCAAAAACTGATTCATAACACTTTTTGTACTAATGTTGGAGAGTTGTCCCTGGACAAAAAAAAAAAAAGGTTGGCAACCTCTGTTCTAGACTAATCTATAATTTGCTGAATGCAATATTTTGTAACGAATTTTTTAAAAGCACAGCAATTTGACTCAAATTCTGCTTTCTCCCAATTTCATTTTGCAAAAGTAAGCTATAGTACACTTTATAAAAGAAAAATGCAGAACTGTTCTGGGATTGATTGGAATTGCATGTTTATTGAGCTGTACTTTAATAACGAAAATGATGCCTCACAAGAGGTGATTATATCTGTGCAAGATAATGGTAACTGGTGCTAGGCAATGGTAGCTTTTCCTTGCTTCAACTGAACTGTGTTGAACTTTTGGAGAACCACTTTTCTCCCCTGAAAAGTCTCCTCTAGACAGAAAAAATGTGCTAGCATTGAGGAGCAGATGCTTGACTCTTATGTTATTATACCTCTTTTCATTCCTTGTTCACACTATACCTATAATTAAACTATATGCTTTTTTTATTTATCTCATCCTCTTTGACTGGCATGTCTCTGCAATTTGTTTCTACGTGTAACACATCTTTTCAAATTCCATGTATAACTCTTACCACATCTGGTTTAGGACTCTTAAATATGCATCAAAATTTATTTTATTTTTTTCCAGAGATACTGATGCCTGGCTGAATAGCACCAAGCATCTCTGGCAAGTGAGGGACTGTACTGCTTCTGGGTCAGAGTTGTGAATAAACTGGAATGAAGAAAATGGGAACTAAACTTATATCTTTGCCTCTTTGTTCTTAACAGGGTCCACTGGGCAGAAGGAGCTTGTCGATCAGATAAATATCCCAGAACAAGCACCACTGGTTGTCATGAGGCTTGTGGACGCTTTAGAGAAAGAAGGTAATGAGCAACGTTCTGCTGGTATTATGCCTCCCATTTTGCTGTCCCATCATTTTGCATTCTAAGCATCAGACAAGTATATATTCTAACTGAATATCTTTATCTATCCAGTACACAGAGTGTATATCTGATACTTAACATAAAGGGATGACTTTACTAAAGTGAGATACTGAGAAAATAAAAGTACCAGTCTGCAGGACTCTCCCCTTCCTGTTTCTTTTACATGAGAGCCATCCAGCAGACAAACAGAAGGCAATAATTTTTCTATCTAAGTCAGTGGTTCTCAATCTGTGGGTTCCCAGATGTTTTGGTCTACAACTCCCAGAAATCCCAGCCAGTTTACCAGCTGTTGGGATTTCTGGGAGTTGAAGGCCAAAGCATCTGGGGACCCACAGGTTGAGAATCACTGCTCTAAGTCATAGTCATTTCTCCTACACGTATTGATCACCATGAACTTTGACACCTTTAATGGAAGAATAGAAAAATATAGGGAAGTTTAAGAATGGTGTTGCATCTCTATAGCAAACAAGTCAATATTTTGCCATTTTGGGAGGATCCCTGGTTTAAAATTGCATGTCAGAAATGCTGTCCACAACCACTTTGTGGTTCTGGAGAATAGAATTGTGGGCCACAGCCTACCTATCTATCTCTGCCTTCAAGTGACAGATCCAATGAGTAGGCTGTTCAGGGAAGTCATCCATCTTCTCCAAGGGAGGGGACTTCTCACAATGAGAGATCTGGTGGACAAGATTTCTGGAGAGCCATGCTGATTGCAAAACAAATAAAGGAGGTGGCATCATTCTCATCTCATGAAAACTGCTTTGAGTTCAAAATGCTTCATTGAATGGGTTCTTCCTAAAATCAAGGATGTGTAGGAGTTGTTGTAGGTTTTTCGGGCTGTATGGCCATGTTCTAGAAGCATTCTCTCCTGACATTTCACCTGCATCTGTAGCAAGCATCCTCAGAGGTTGTGATTCCGGCCATGGAAGCCTTTGACAATACATTGCTGTTGGTGGATGCAATCCCATAATCAATGCTCCGGAAACAAAATATCTTGAGTGAACCCCAATGCCTAGTAAAGTTTGAGCCAAAAAGTATGAGCCAAAGAATGAGCCAAAGGAAAAGTATAAGCCAACTGTGCTGTTTTTGTGAAGTTAACAGTGAATTGTCACTGATACACTTTTTGTCATGGCCACCCATGCATGAAGCAGCCCACTCTACAAGAAATCTCTAGCAGTAGTCACTTGCTTCTTTTCAGATGGCTTGATGGTTTAATGCCATTTTTGGATTTTGAAGATTATCATAAATTATTAAAAGTGCTGCTTCATTTGGCAAAAAATGTCACCTAGTATTTACAAGTAACATTTTGATGCCCCAGTTTGAAAACATCACTATCCATAAATATTGATGTGGCAAGTTAACAGGCAGCCACCTTTTATTTGAATGGACAGTTGTGGCAACTACAAAATACTTTTACTTGTGAAAGCATTGTCAGGCTTTTGAGGAGAATTACACTGCAGCTTTCTCTCGATTAGAGTCTGCCGTTGATCTTTTCCCATGTATCAAGCTTTTGTCTCCACCCTGTGGTGGGTACCATTCACATTCTTTTTTAAATCAAATTATTTATTTCAGGAAAAGATTTAAAAAACGAAACACCCATAGGCACATAGTCTGTTATATACATATAATTATATTTATCATGAATTCCAAAAATATTTTAAGATTGTTTTCTTTGTGCATACACTCCTTCTATAACTAATATTTTACTTTTCCATTTTCAGTTATTGGCCTTTTTAATGTTTCTGGTCTTCCAGACACCAGACTGTCAATTACACTATGTAATAATTACACTATGGGTTATAAATGTCATTTCCTAATTGGTTCTGTCATAAAAACATAGAAAAAAATTACATTGCAAAAAAAAACTTTTGAGTGATATCCTGCAGCACCTTTTGATGTAGTTTTTCGATGAATATCTCCAAGAGTCACAACCAATTCAACATAGTTTGTGGCAGCCACAAAAAATGAAGTTTCAGGAGTATAACAACTGCTTTCAAAACAAGTACCACACAATTAAACAGGAAATAGCACTTTCAAACCAGAAACAGAACATCTTTCAAATTTTGTGTAATAGTGTTATTTTTGTAACTATAGTTGCAGTTCTTCAGATAATTTGCTTCATAAAGGAAAAGAATTAGCAATGACAACTGAGTAGTACAACAAAATGTTCTGGCACAGTGTTGCTCCTTTTGGGGGTTCTAGGCAGCTGCACCATTTCTTACGATATTCAATTCCATCCTCACTTTCCTTCCTACAGCAAAGCTCAACAAACATTCAATGCCTCCTCAGCACATTCAGTCATCATTGGAATATGGGGAGTCTTTTCCCCTTTGTGTGTGTGTGTGTGTGTGTGTGTGTGGTGTAATCTTCATTTTTTTGATATCTACTGGAGCCCCCCCCCCCAACCCAACTGATACGGAGGTTCCATTGTGTGTGTGTGTGTGTACAGACCATTCACACACAAAGAGTGGCCCACTGTATCTACAGGGTTCAAATCTGGGATCCCCCACAGAAATGAAAACAAAACACATGATAATTGTCCATATTGTTAAATGGGAGTAACAACAACATGTACTCTTCAGCACTTCTGTATTCATGTCAACACCATTTAGTAATATGGAGCATAGCAATCTTTGATCAGTTGAAATCTCAGTTCTGGAGCCCACAGATCTGGATAGCCCACTGTGGAGGGAGGGGAAGAAAAAGTATGGGCTGGGGAATGACTGTTTCTCAAACGTCCACAAACCTAAGAAGTCTTCAGGTTCCACCATCTCATACGTTAATGATACTTTGGCTACAGAATGATCAGCATTTATACAGTGAATGAACTATTACTACAGATATAAAAGTCTTTATCTCTGTTTTGTTATGTGTCCCTGAATCCTACACAGAGGGTTTTTATTTCCATCCTGTTGTTTGTGTGAGAAAGAGAGTTTAGGTGAGGAATGTCATGCTCCCTTTATAATGTGTGCCTTAATGCATGTTACCAAAACTTTTGATGAAAGATAACCACAGGGTCGTATCAGAAGACCTAGAAATAGAGGTGTTCTCGCAGGTTGAACGAAAGCACTTATTCATGATTTTTTGTGATGACCCTGTTTCCTTAAGCCCTAAAAAAGCAGAAGACCTCTTGTATTACTTATATAATATTTATTGTTCATTCAAAGAGCACCCGACTAGCCCCTCCTCTTTATTTATGTTGCATTTGCAGGCTTAGATAATGAAGCTCTTTACCAAGCCCCTCCTGGATCTTTCTGGGATCCTCAAATAAAACAGTCTCTTCTGACAGGTAAGACAGGACTATGTTTCGTAATGTTTTTTGAGCTGTTGGGAATAACCAGGAAATTGCTTGTTGAATGGCTAGAATAAGAGTATGAATCCAGATAGTTAATCATTTTACCCTAAAATCAGTAATTGGAGCTGGAAAAGATTTTCAATGAGTTGGGCATCTGGATTGTGAAGATGGGTCAAAGTTGTGTTTACGTTAAAGGGGAATCAACAAACTTCAGTCCACCAGATGTTGATGGAGTACAACTCCCAGCATTCCTTGCCACTGCCTGCGTTGGCTTGGGCTGGTGGGAGACAACCTCTGGAGGTCTCTACACATTGCCCAGCCTTGGCTTTAAAACACAGTGAACTGTTTAGACAGGTGGGCTTTGCTAGCTGAAAAAGAGTTTACTATGGCTTTTACAGAGTTCGTGCAAGTTGGAAAGCAGCATTTTGATCCTGGTTGTATTGTTTTAAAACTGTGACTTTGCAATACCCCATATTGCCAGCAAAAAGAAGGTAACTCATTGGACATAACAACAATACAGGTTGACTATCCCTTATACAAAATGCTTTGGGACCAGAAATGTTTTGGATTTTTTAGAATTTTGGAATAACAAGCATTATTAATATGTGCATATACAGACAAAGTGAGGTATCCTGGAAGTCAAACTCAAGTCTGAAAACTAAATTAAATTTATTTTTCATACACATTCTATAGATATAACTAGACAATAATTTTGTACACAGTATTTTAGATAATTGCTTATTGTGTATTTTTTTGTTTTTGAGTTTTATCTTATTTTATTTTAACTGTTTTGTATTGATTATTTGTTATCGCCTTTGTTTATTGATGTGTTGTGGGCTTGGCCTCATGTAAGCTGCATCGAGTCCCTTGGGGAGATGGTAGCAGGGTACAAATAAAGTTGTTGTTGTTATTATTATTATTATTATTATTATTATTATTATTATTATTATTAAGCAAAGTATGTGTGCACTGAACCATCAGGAAGCAAAAGTGTCATTATCTCAGTGACCCATGTGGAGAATTTTGGATTTTTATATATTTTGAATTTTAATTTTCCATATAAGGGATACTCAGTACAGTGCTCTCCCTCCATCCCCAGGGGATATGGTCATGGATTCATGAAACTATAGATAATAGGAAACTCTTGAACTATGAGACTACCGACCAAAGAATATCATAGACATATCAAAATGCCTAAGGAGGACATGTTTTGTGGGATATACAGTAGATAAACAAAACTGCATTTAACTAGTACTGCAGATACAGAGGTTGCACTGTACTTCACATTCATGATTTATTATGCTTTCAGCAGCTTCCAATTTTTTGGGAGCCTCTTTGGATCTCATTCTTGGAGGAGGGCAGCATATAAATAATAAAAAATGGTATCTTTCATGCCCCATCATGGATAAAAAGCAGAGTTCACATATCCTGCAGCACTTTTTGCTCCTTGCAACATCATGATCTTCTTCCATCAAGTATTTATTCCTTATAGCCTTTTTCAATAAAGCAAAGCAAAATAAAAACCTTCTAACTATCCCCCTCCTGCGCTTTTCATTACTGCTAAATTTTTCAACAAAAGAGAGAACTTGGACAGGTTGTTTTTTCAAAGATGACAGCTCCCAATATTCCAGGGGATTCTGAGAGTTTTCACTTTTGAAAATATTGAGTCTATTGAGTGAAGCGAGGATAGGAAGGTGGTGATGTAATGTACTCAGGAAACTGTCCTGAATATTATGGACCACCAGATGGCACTCTGGCACCAGGCAGCGTAGCAGCCAAGTCTGTCCCTGTCTGATGGTGTAAGTGGCACTGTGATGCTCCAGAGCAGCCTGCTCTGGCCACTGCATCCCTCTCTTACCTGGGCTGGTTCATCTGTGCTCTGTTGCCTTTGAGCAAATGCTGTTTTGCAGCCATGGGGAGGATGCAATGTCAGACTCTCAAGCAGCCAGACTCTCTGACAGCACCAACCCAGAGGCTGTCACGCCAGGACGGGTTGCTATGGAGAGGAATCTGACGGGATATCTATATAAAGAAACATGAGCTCATCCATTCTCAGCAGAACCAAGAAACCGAGTCCCAAGATACCTCATTGTCTGCAGTGAGGCACGCAGCGGCAGCGAAAACGTTCTCACATTCAAGAGGAGACAAAGTGTCTTATCTCATCCGCAAACCAAGCCAAACCACACAGGACTTTCCACACTAGATTGGTACTCTTGGAAGCCTCTGTCTCAAGGTGTATTTGCACTGTAGAATTAATGCTGTTTGACACCACTTTAACTGCCTTGGCTCAATGCTGAGGACTCAGAGTTGTAGTTTTACAAGAGCCTTTTCTAAAAAAGAGTGCTGGTGTCTCACCAAACTACAATTCCCATGATTTCATAGCATTGAGCCATGGCAGTTAAAGTGATGTCAAACTGCATTAATTCTACAATGTAGATACACCCTGAGATGTGTCTTTGGTTAAAGGCCTGCCACTAAGATTTTAGAAGGCACTCAAATGTATCTCCTACTCCCTAAATTAAGGAGGCACTCTGTGCTTCTTAGGGACCACAGCTCAAAACTAGCATAACAATGAAGCAATTGTTACATAAAGATATCCACTTAAATTTGAACATTCATTTGAAGGACTACCATATTGACACACTGTTTTTCTTAAACAAATCTAGCCAGCACAGTATAGTGGTTTGAGTATTGAACTCTGGAGACCAGGGTTCAAACCCACACTCTACCATGGGAACCCACTGGGTAATCTTGGGCAAGTCACAAAGTCAAAGATGAATCTTCTCTGAGCAAGTCTTGCCAAGAAAACCTGCTGTGATAATTTTGCTTTAGGGTCTCCATAAACAGTTTGAAGGCACACAGTAACAATAGTAATACTTAAACCAACTTTGATACTTTTTTCATCCAGCTTTTTGTCCTAACAATTTTGGAGGTACAAGCATGATCCAAAACTCCACAAAGACTCAGACACATATACAAAAGAATGATAATGAAAATACTCATCTCAAACAAACTAAATGCACAGCATGTACGCAATTCCTTCCTGCTTTGCTCCTCCCTTCTAAATGAATGATGAAGAAATGAACCATTTAAACAAAGAAGAGTATACACCTTATTTATAATAAGCCAGCATAATTCCGAAATTCTTGTTTATTGTTGCATGTGAATACAATCAATGTGTCTGGAGTAGCTTTTGGGACACATGCCTCAGTCACATCTCATTTGAATGACACGGTCCATGTGGAACTAACATTTTAAATATGCTCAGAAACTGTAGCTGGTGTAAAGCACTGTAGCTATATTGTGGCTGAAGTCGTATACTATACTTGGAGGACCAGGCCCATAGCCAGGATTTTGTTTCGGGGGGGGGGGGGCTGAATTTGGTTCGGGGGGCTGAGTCTGAGTGAAAAGAGGGTCTACCCTAGCAAACCTTTTGTATCGTTACCTCAATACCCCCATGCATATGGGATATATTGAGCATGGTGATCAGATCATGATATGAATAAACATAACAGTTTAAATAATGTACCAGTAAGGCCTCGTGGACCACCATGAGAATTTGGGGGGGGGGTGGCGGAAGCCCCCCACCCCCCCCCCCCCCCGCCCCTGGCTACATGCCTGTGGAGGACCATCACGCACAGATACAAATCATGACAGTCCTGATTTGTCCCACTTTTTCAGTTGTTTTTAAATTTTTCCAATTTTTATCTCCTCAGTCCAGTTTCTCTGCTTTGTCCTCACCTTGCTTTGGTTGCTAAAAACTGATTGCCAAGTGCAAAAGTACTTTGAACTCAACTCCTCAACAGAGAAATGGGAAATGAGCATGGAGGAAAGTATTGCCTTTCCCAGAAGGCTTAGGAAAAAGGAAACTAGGACAACCTCTTGTACCTTGTGTGTTATTCCTCCTTAATAACTAGGAGCAATTGGTTCAGTTCACAGGAAAGGAGATTCTACCTGAACATTAGGAAGAACTTCCTGGAACTCTCTGCCTCGGAGTGTGATGGAAGCTTCTTCCTTAGAAACATTTAAACAGAGGCTGGATGGCCATCTGTCAGGTATACTTTGATTGTGCTTTTCCTGCATGGCAGGGGGTTGGACTAGATGGCCCATGTGGTCTCTTCCTACTCTATTATTCTATGATTCTATGCATATGAAAATCATTTGGGCATCTAGGTGATTGGTTGGCACTTGCCAACACTACCCTCAAGGGAAAATAAAGAACTGTGTTCAAATCACACAATGTTTAGAAGCCTCTGAGGTAGTTCATGGGGTAATTTCTGCCACTAGATGGTTATAGAAATCTTTTGTCCAAAAATGTCATGCACACAACCTGCTTGAAGGGGATTATGTGAGCCCTAGTGGTAGTATCACGGACAATTTGCGGTCTTCAGATAGTGAAAGTTATTTTCACAAATGCTTTCAAAATAATGTAGCCACAAGAATCTGTTAAATTGCAAAGATATCATGTTGGAATTGAGCCCCAGTTTGCTTCTTTGATGAAGCTGAATCTGTTTCAGTTCAGTTTTGTCCAATTTGTGTAGCTGATTTCTACTTTGATATGCAAGGCAACTGAAATAATTAAAGTCGGCATGGATGAATCCAATGAATTTTGACCTTGTTAAGTAAGGAAATGAAATGGATTCAGAGAAGGTGAATTGTGTGCGAGCACTTGCTGTGAGAGGCAATATGAATTTTCCATGGTCAAATTGGATCCAAAATTATAGACGTCCTTTTCTTGTCATCAAAATTTCACTTCTGATCAACCTGTAGGCATTGCGTGGGCAAAACAGTGCCCCCAAATGACTGACACATTCCCCCCCCCCTCTCTCTGACACACACACACACACTTCTTTCTCAGTAGGAGGGCAGCAACATCTTGTGTATGGATAGTTTCACATTTAGCACTTTGTACTAGGTGCACAAATTATTTATTCCAAATAGTTACAAAATAGAATTTGTTGATATATATTATTGCAAAATTTCCCACAGGTACT